TTCAGTTGCAGCCATGACTAAAGCACCTCCAACATGGCAGAATTACGAGTTTCAGATGAGTACAGCCCTACTCTAGTTCAGATAAAATATCCCTGATTTACATCCCTGGAAATGAGCTCACCTACTAACGCAAACATTTCCCATGGTTTGAGCTGTTACGGAGGGAGAAGAGCCATTCATCCATATTTCAGAGCCAGAGATCCCCCGCAGCTCATCTGAATGCCACGAGAGGTACAGATGTGGGAGGAATTTAATGAATGGATAAAAACTACAAATCCTGGAGCAAACATTGGGATCAGTCATTAATGACGCATTAACGACTGTGGGTGCAGCCTTGGGGAATGGCAGCTTCAAGGATGCTCCTTGCTGGAGAGGGTGGTTCTCGGGGGGCCTCTCCCAGGGAGCAAACCTCCCATGGCTGCCTCCCCCTCTAGAACTATTTTTCCAAGTCTTTTTCTTCCTGTGCTGAGCAGGGACAAGATGATAACAGTGGCTGGCACCAGCAAGTTAATTTTATAAAGAACTGACACCCTACTCGAGTGCCAACGATTTAAAAGAGTAATAGATTGTCACTTTTAGCTGGAAACTGGTTGTTAGATGATTTTAGAAGTCTTTTGCATATTTATTTTGTCCCACTTTAAATAAATTTGGGGAAGATTTATCTCGTTAGCTCCAAATGCAAGTCCCTCTTGGCCTGGCTGAGGAAACAAATTAGACTTTGCAAACATTGCAAAGACTAAATCAATACATTAATATTTAGGGGACATTAAGGGGGTTTATTAAACAGAAAAAGGGCCTTGAGTATTACTTTGGGAACGTGTTTAAATAAAATCCCGAGGTTGTGGTTTCTGACTGAATCTATAAATGGCATTTCCTCAGATAACTGAACTCTTCACAGGCACGAGTCAAGTGCTGATCTTGTACAGAAACGAGACAATGCAGGCAGGGCAGGACAGGAATGAGAGCCAGGTCTCACACGCACAGGGTCTATCCCCAGCGGTGTCCCACACGTGTCCAGCATGGGCTGGATTAAAATAAAAACTAAGACAGCAAGTAATTGATGGGAGAAAGTTTTTGTGTCACTGATACACCAGTGTTGACAGTTTGCCCATGTCAGCAGGTGGAACAGGATGATCTTTAAGATCCCTTCCAACCCAAACCAGTCTGGGATTCTGTGACAGTCTTGTAGAAGTGCTCCCTAAGTTGGTGTTTGTTCTTCCTCCCTGGGATCCACGCAAGTGCATTACTGAAGCAGAGCAAAATCCTCCCCAAGCCCTTATTTCACTGCATTCAAGAGAACAATCTCTTTCAGAGGGGTTCTTTATTCTCCTGATCATCCTGGTGGCCCTCCCTTGGTGACTGAGGTCCCTTTGACACCCTACTGTGGTCTCTGTGTCCCTGGAGTCCCAAACACAACTCCTGACCTGCCCTTTGCCCCCACAGTCCAAGAGCATCCTCACCATATCCTGCCCTGGCAAGAAAGGGTCCCTGGGGCTGGGCCCCCTTGCTCTGCCCCGGGGATCAATTCATTCTCAAGGACAGCAGTAAACATGTCTTAATATTTTTCCCAATTGAAAGAAAAACATAGCTTGGACGATGCAATTTAGACTTTGGTAGAATAAATGTCAGATTAGAAATGGCAGAAATTGCAACCTTTTGGAGAAAAATTATGAGCAATAGAGTGTGGAAATAGGGATTTGATTTTTCTCTTTTACTGTAACAAACAGCTGATGTTTAAATCATCTGAAGTTCATGACTTTGTGGATCAAGCATCTGCCATTGAGGTAGACTGTGTTGATTACAAGTTCCTATCATCTAAACTTTCAATTAATTACTTCATAATTCTCACTTCTTTTTAATAAGGTCACTGTAATAAAGTTAACTGGATGATGTTACTCTCTTTCATGTGGTTTTTCTTTCACAGATGTAAATGTGGGCTAAAGACATATTTTCTGTTTTCTTTTTCATTAACTATCATCTTCATTGATTTCCTTGGTACAAACAGGAGTAACTGTAACAAGAAACAGTGATCAAGACCTGACCCAGTGGTCTCCTTAAGGTCCTGTGCTGGGTTTGGTACAGGGATTTGAGGAGGGATTTGGGAGACTGAAACTCAACCTCCAGCTCTGCCAGATGTTCCTGATGGGAAGTGGCCGAGTCCCCCTGGGTCTTGGATGGGACAGCAATGGGGAGGCTGCTGCTTCCCTTGTTCATTCCTTATGGTGCTCATCTGTGTCTTACTCACAGAAATTAAGGCATCTTTAAACTATTAAAATGTATTTATTTACTTCTATGAATATGAAATTGTCAGCCCAAAAAGCAGAGAAGAGGATATTCAACATGACAGCTCCTGGCTCCGTGTCTATAGAAGGACTGACGCACATACCAAGTCAAAGGAAAAAAGAGGGAGTTGGGTTTGCACAGCTTCTAACATGGAGCTTCACAGCAAATCATTTTCCTATCCGGAGTCTGAAGCTATTTGGGAGCTTATGATCTGACATAAGCCTTTCCTCATCTCATTTGTGACACAAATGTGTGACACACATCCCCCTGGCTCCTCCAGCTCCACTGTTTCCAGCAGGAGAACATCTTCTTCCACTGTTCCTCCATAGAACATAGAACGCGGCCTGGAGGGTAGAGCGATGTGAAGGGACTCAGACTCTGCTCTCAAATGATCCTTTTCTGCTGTGATTTCCTGTGCTGCTCTGGGTCTGTGCTGAGCTTTATTCACAGAGTTAAAGGAGGCTCAGCCCTCTGACAGAATGGTTTTGTTTTGGCATTTATCCTCAATAGCAGAAATTGTTTCTAATCTCAAAACACAAAGTCATGAAGGATATTACAGGGAAACACAAAGGTGCTCCCATGAAATCTGATTGTATCATCCCTACAAACCGTACTGGGCAGAAAAGGCTATTTCAGCTCCTCATACCAATCAACACTTTGAAGTTTTCTTTACAATCTCAGGTACTTTCAGACAGGTCAGTCTCCACCTCAAAGGAGGCCTGAACGTGGTGTCCTCACCTACAGTCTCAGCACATGGAGGATGAAGAGATGAACATAGGTCCAGGTGTGCCCAGGTGGCCAAAAAGGCCAGTGGCACCTGGCTTGTGTAAAAAATAGTATGATCAGAAGGATTTAGGGAAGTGATCTTCCCTCTGTATTGGGGACTGCTGAGGACTCACCTCAACTCCCATGTATACTTCTGGACCCCTCACAACAAGAAAGACACTGAGGGGCTGAAGTGTGTCCAGGGAAGGGAACGGAGCTGGGGAAGGGTGAAGGTGGAGGTGACCTAAGATCAGGCAGAACAGGCCTCTGAAATGTGTGCTCTTCTTCCCACGGGAAAAATAAATGAACCTAAGACAGAGTCCCTGTTCCAGGAGATTTTCAGCACAAAGAGAAACACTGAGGTTCTGGTTGGAAAAGCCCTCCCAGACCACTGAGTACAAACTGCGCCCAATCCCCACCTTGTCGCGCAGCCCAGAGCACTGAGTGCCACATCCAGCTGTTCCTTGGACACCTCCAGGGATAGGAACTCCACCACCTCCATAGGCAGCCCCTTCCAATGCCTGACCATCCTTTCCAGGAAGAAATTCCTCCTCATGTTCGACTTGAACCACCCACGGCACAGCTTGAGCACATTTCCTCTTGTCCTGTCCCTTGTCCTCTGAGAGCAGAGCCCAACTCCCACCTGGCTCCACCCTCCTGTCAGGGAGTTGCAGAGAGTGAAAAGGTTCCCCCTGAGCCTCCTTTTCTCCAGGCTGAGCCCTCCCACTCCCTCAGCTGCTCCTGGTGCTCCAGACCCTTCCCCAGCTCTGTTCCCTTCTCCAGACATAGGAAATACAAAACACTTCTGCAATCCCTAAACATCTCCCACATAAACCACATGGTGACAGGTCTTGACACCTTCATGGAAAGTCATAAAAATGACTCAGTGGTGGCTTTTTGGCCATACTGATAAAATAATGTTCTTTAAGCAATAACTACACTTAGCTCAGAGCTCCAGCCCAACATTCCTACAAACCAGTGGGTTCTAAAGGTCCCATGGATAAGGATAATTAGTTTGGGAATGGTTTCACACCCATTCTTTGTAAGGGATTTCTGTGTGCCATATGGATTAATAGGGATTGCCATTTCGATCCTTCTCTTTTATATTCATTGCCTTATTACTCATAAAAATGCAAAAGAAAATGTTAATGATGATTGCACCAAAGACTAATAAGTTAAAGCCTTAGGTTATACTTTGCATTTCTGAAGATATAAATGCAATTGCTTAATAATTATGCATATTTTTAACTATTGAGATATTATTTCTCTTTATGCTTGTAGTTAGCCTAATTAATTTTAAGCTCCTGTTGATATATTTTATACTTGCAATTAATTTCCGATTTGGTTTTTTAGCCCTTGCACGAGGGCATTAATTATTATGAAGACAATCAAAGCTGAAAATTGTTCACCTTGGAACAACACAATAAATATTAAACCCACATGTGTAAAACTGACACTGCTGTTCTGAAGTCCTTCTAGCAGAGAACTGTCACTGAAATAAATAGACTGTCCTTATCAGGAATACTGGGATCTGGGTATTTCTGTGGGAGAAGTGCTCTGGAAGAAACAAGAAGGAAGAATGGGAGGTATGGGAGAGAGAGAGAGAGGGAGAGAGAAGAAGAAAGAAAGAAAAGAAAGAAAGAAAGAGAGAGAGAGAAAGAAAGAGTGAAAGAAAGAGAGAAAAGGAGAAGAGAAGAGAAGAGAAGAGAAGAGAAGAGAAGAG